GGAACTGATGTGAGGGTCAAGCCAAATTGAATTTTTTAAAAATTTATTCAGGGTGTTTCCAATATCTTTGAATTTTGACATGATACAGCTAAACCAAGCACGGATTTGTAATCTACGATGCTGCATGTGATATTTTCACCTCCCTACAGTGTAATTATATCAATAAATCATTATTTAAATAATTATAATGAATTTAAACTAAAAAATATTGTGTGCACCATTGCCAAAAAGGGTTAATTGCTCTCGTCTTTTTTTGTTGTTTTTAGACACAGAGACAGTTCTCTTTCTCTCTACACTTCATAGTTAAATCTGTTGTCTTATATACACTTTAAAGTGTATAACAATTAAAGTTTATACATACAGGGTATCCGGAAACTAAACCGACAAGCAAACACAGCAATTCCATCTTTCAATAACTCCCTTACAAAGCATTTTTAAATAAGACTTCGATTATCCCTAGAATGCTGTCTTTGCTTGTCGGTTTAGTTTTTGGACATCCTATATGGAATTTTGTTTCATTTTATATATTAGTTTATTTAATATTTAGATTAGTTACCGAAATGACTGGACAAATTTTCAAAGGTTGGAAAAATTATATTATTGCAATATAGGAAAATGATTAACTTACTTGGGAAATTTATAAATTATATACCTATAGGTGCGCTGAATTAAAAAATGGCCATCACTCAATCTTTTACACAAGTGTGTATAGTAGGGTGTCCGTTATTTGGGCGATGTGCGAATTTTTTTGCTCGCACCCCCCAAAAAGTTGTAGTTTGGGAAAAAAAAATTTTTGGTAATTTTTTTAGATTTTTTTTTTTAATTAACCCGTGCCGCAAGAGGGTTAAAGATTTAATTATTGTTAAAATATGATTAAATTTTGCCTTTCACTATAGGCTTACCACGATTTTTCAATGAAAAAAGTCTGTCGAGTGGTTTTCTTATAGTTCAAACACCGCTGAACCCGAATCTGAAATTCGTTTTTTTTTTCATTAATCGTTTTTTTAGAATAGCCTGTGTCGGGAGTAGGTAAAATCGCAAATCGGATGAAAAATTGGATTAGGCTCTTTTCACATTGAAAGTCCTGTAACGTCGCCAGTTTTCAATAAAAAAATCTGAAAATTGGTATACTTATGGTTTTGACATCGCTGAACTCGAATCTGACATTTTCATTGATGACAGCTGTCAAAATAGCTGTCAAAAATCCCAAAAACCATTTTTTATTAAAAATGCCCATTTGCCCCTGTAAAATTATGTTTGGAACTTGAAATTTGACAGTTCAATCATTTGTACATTTTATTGAGTGATTTGGATTTTGGTTTTATGAAAATAAATAATTCAAAGTGCATCAAATTCAGATTCAGCGCATGAAATAACCATAAAATGGGCATTTTTAATAAAAAACCGTTTTTTGGGATTTTTGACAGCTATTTTGACAGCTGTCATCAATGAAAATGTCAGATTCGAGTTCAGCGATGTCAAAACCATAAGTATACCAATTTTCAGATTTTTTTATTGAAAACTGGCGACGTTAGAGGACTTTGAATGTGAAAAGAGCCTAATCCCATTTTTCATCCGATTTGCGATTTTACCTACTCCCGACACAGGCTATTCTAAAAAAACGATTAATGAAAAAAAAACGAATTTCAGATTCGGGTTCAGCGGTGTTTGAACTATAAGAAAACCACTCGACAGACTTTTTTCATTGAAAAATCGTGGAGTGGTAAGCCTATAGTGAAAGGCAAAATTTAATCATATTTTAACAATAATTAAATCTTTAACCCTCTTGCGGCACGGGTTAATTAAAAAATAAAAATCTAAAAAAATTACCAAAAATTTTTTTTTCCCAAACTACAACTTTTTGGGGGGTGCGAGCAAAAAAATTCGCACATCGCCCAAATAACGGACACCCTAGTGTATAGGTACATACCTTGTTTTTTTTATTTATTTTTAGCACACCCGGTATACCGGGTAAGTTTTAAGTTGAAGCTTTTTTTATCATCGTCTAGAAATCAAATAGACAAACAAATATTTCAAATAACTACAAAAAGATGCTAGCGTTGCGTCGTAGCCACGCTTCTATACATGCTTGTAATAGAGATAAGGGTGTTTCGCGAATTATAAATAATTATTTGAGTTGCATTTTCGATTCGTGCTATCAATTATTTGCGAGTATTCACTGGGTTTTCGACCACTACACTTTTATCCACCTCCACAAGAAAAAATCCAAAGTATTTAGATCCAGCAATCTTGGCGGCCACGCGACAGGTCCTTTACAACCGATCTGGTTATGAACTGTTTATTCAAAAATTCTCTAAATTTACGCCTACTACATTTTTAGGTACATCTTTCAGCAAAACAGGATGAATATCTTGCAAAAAATGTAGTCGCCGTTTAAATGGTAAAATGGTAAAATATATAGTCCAATGATCATGCCATTTATGTGAAGATATAGGATTCCCTACAGTGTGTTGTGCATCACCAAAGTCCATCTTAAAAAGGCATTATTGTTAGAATTTCGTTCTAAAAGCCAGTTGCAAAAATTGAATCCAGTCAGGTTCCAGTACTTGAGAAGGCACGCGAGAGCGAGTGCTCTTAAAACGTAAAAGTTTAAAGATTAAAACCAACAATAATTTTTAAATTGTGCAAACCAATTATATTATATATATATATAAACAAACAATTTTCATAGAGTGCAAACTAAAAGGGTGCAACGGTCAATGAGGAGTGAAGTGTTAAGTGATGAGTTAAGTGCCACCTGTCATTGGACGCTTTTCACTGGCCATCCGAAAAAAAATTGATAAGTAACCATAAGCATATGCATGACCTAACACATAATCTGCAAATTAAACACGACATATATCTTTAAAACCTAAGAAAGGCACACTGCCTAGGACAATAAATCTGTCAACAACAAATGCGTAAGGCAAACCCAACCGAGACCAATAATAAACACTAGACACACAGAATAAACTAACACATTAATCATTATAACCCTAACATAGTAAAAAAAGCATAATAACCAAACTCTACTGGATTTGTAAACATTAGATAACAGAATAATTGCGCTTGTCATTTGTTTAACTAATAAATAAATGTAATACTTAATTTTGGAATTTAAGAAAAAAAGACAAAACTCTACCACAAAACGTGCTTGGGCAACACAATAACTAATAAAAAAAAATTGTTGAGAAATTTCGCACTACTGCGGCAATAAACAATTAAAAAAAAAACACCAAAAGCCACAAGTTACATATCCAGCTACTGAACTATCTATTGATGGTTGTCGGCATCAAGACTGAGGACACGGGAATGACAATAACGAACAAGACGAAGAACTCGACTAGGAAACTACACCCCTGCAGCCAAATAACAACTCTCCAACTCCAAATAGTAATCCCAAATGTTTGGAGTAATACTAATCGACTGGTCTAGGGGGATTCCGCGTCGTACTTAGTTTTAAGTCGGCGTAATTGTCCCCCAAAAACCAACAAACGTCTATCCCTCCCGTCCCTCCTCCTCTATACCCTACTGGGCGTATGACATCGGCTCGGCGAACCCGAGAATGGCTATTAAAACTATTCACATGTCGCTCTCGAGCCCCAAATAGGGGACAGAACGGAAGGCAATGGACATTCGCACCCAGAAAACACGGGTGAAGCCGTGCAGTTGCTGGGGGCGAACAAAAATCGGCGTAAGTAAACATAGGCCTGTACGGGTCCGGGAGTGTTGAGGCAATGGGGCTGGATATACGTCTCTTATACTCATACTCATGCTCAAAGCCAGTTGCAAAAATTGAATCTGGAAAATCCTCTGGCTACAAAGCTTGTTATAATAATTATTCAGGCACACTTGGTATGAATATGTATGTATGAGTTTATTGGCAATAATAGCCAGGACTGGTTCCAAATTTAATTAAACTTTTAAAGTTTTGGTTAAGTTAAATTAATAGGCCGTTTCTCTTATTCATAAAAAAGTTACCTAAAATATTTGTTTGTCTATTTAATTTCTTTACGCAGTTAAATAAACCCACCCTGAATACATATTAGCACATAATAAATAAATAATAAGATGCATACAAAATATAGTTTTGTCTAAAAATGTATTTTGTAAAATGACTCTTTATTAAATGCATTCTAATAATTTCTACCTCTGGGTAAAAATTCAAATGTAAAAAATAACTTTACTAAATAATAAAAAGTTTGTTCGCCTTCTTTATTTTCATTATTTCTGAAAAACTTTTAACGAATCGTCCTTTTATTTCCTGCCTATTGAATATGGAAAATTATTTAGGACTCCAACTGTTAAAAATTCCATCGAAAGGGTCAAAGCAGAAAAATTCAGCGAAAAGTATCAAAAGAAAACAGAAAAAAATGAATTTCAATTTCGTTAAATTCCAAAGTTTTCTAATTCTGGTTTTTAATCAATGCTTCTCTAAGAAGAAAAGCTAAAGTTAAAAATAAAAATTTAACTCAAATTAAATATTTCCTACAGAATTTACATTTTCTTTAATTTGTTATGATATTTATGGAGCGTGCATTTTACATTCATTTAAAACAAATTTATAAATAGATCACAAACATTTAGGTGGATATCAAAGAAAATAAAATTTTAACGGGGATCTTCAGTAGAATTTAATGAATAATTTATTTTTATATCCAGTCGTTATACGTTTTTATATTAAATATTCTTTTAGCATTTTAAGATTGCGACGAGAGTAAACAAGCGCCATTTTTCAAGATAAGATCTTTGTAATTAAAAAGTAAACAAAGCATTAATTTTCAATTTGGTTAATTTGATTTGCCTTCGATAGCAAATTTAATTACATCTTTCGAAATATTATTATTAATAAAAAGAAGTTGTTTTTATGACCATAATCTTTTTAAATTTAATTATTAAATTATTAATGAAGGCCACACTTTTTTTGAAACCAGTTTTAGTTGGAAATTGTGATTTTTTTTTGAAATACCTACTTATACTTTGACAATAATTGTGTCATGAATGACAACTGCAAAAATGAATTTGGTTAAACCGCTCCAAAGCAAATTCCCAGTTATTTTATCACCAATTTTAGGAATATCATCAAATAGAACATTTAGAAGAAATATAAATATACCATTTCATCATGTACCAGTCGTCATTGAACAATCAGGTAAATATCCTCAGATTTTTTAATATTTTCCATCCCTAATTGACTTTTTTATAACTATAACTAATAATTTTAGTACACAAATGATTGGTTATTTGCGATAATTCTATACTCGTACATCAGCAATATTTTTAACATAATATAATTGACATATTATAATTTTCGATTTTCCTAAATGTGGTACATCGTCAACGTAGTTTACGTTTTTTAAATTTCTTTAATACATGTTATCTACTCCTACTGCATAATTTAGGTTTTTTTCCGTGAATATTGACACCATTATAAATGCCTAACAACGTGAATAATAAACTCATTATTCACGTTTTTAGGCATCAGTGATTGGCCGATTTTAATATTCACTATGATTTGAACCAATCGGGCTTTAAATTGAAAGAAGGCGACTATAATCCCATTTAAAATTGGTAAAAAGTAAGGTTAACCATTTAACAGATGTCAGATTTTATTTATTTAATTTTTAAAATCATTTAATTATCTACTTATTGGACTAGATAAAGTATAGTATTACACTCGAGATTATGCGCATTATTCAATCGGATGATGTGAGTCTCTCGTCTGACGACTCGAGATGCAAACCTCATCCTCATAAATGAGGAGGTCCATTTCAAAACTCGGCTTATCCACTTTTTAATAAAAAATGAGTTACTGGTGTCTGTATATTTAACATGTAGCCCCTTATACCCTGAAAAAGTCATAATATTCTAAAACTCACCTTATTACATTTAAACTTGCCTTATCTATAGGTTATATCATGTCAGAACTGGCTTATACGTACTATGCTCCACACCTCAAAGTCCCACCACGTGACAACGGGGTGAACTCGGATAGTAGGGGCAAATTCGGACGCAGTGTATTCGAACGCTAGTATATTCTAGAATCGCTAGTATATTCTAGATTTTTAAGTCAGTTGACATTTAGATACGACCAAGAATACATGTAGTTTTAGTGTGTAAAGTGTATAAAGAGTCAACTTAAGGTTAGTATTTATTTCATGGCTCCTAATTTTCCTGGATGTTTTGCCTTTTTTTAAAATAACAAAAAGAAACTTATGTGGAGAGAATTGAGAAACATTTTGCTTTGCATTTTTAATCTATTGTTAAAAAGTGTTGCATGTACAATAATTTAGCATAAAAACTTTGTGACTTTTGACCTTGGTTTTTTTGTCTAGGGGATTAATTTAAAAATGTGTTCTTAGGTGGGGTGAACTCGTACAGCCATGCCTCGTAAATATGTGAAGAAACTCGGTATTCAGTTTATGGTCTCAAACGTTTGTTGGCTTACTTAAAGATAAACGATTTACTGAAGATACTCAAAGATAAACGATTTACTGAAGAACCGACGCACACTTGAAGGAATTTCAAAAATCGCGGACAAAACCCTATTTTGTAAAAATCAACATAGTAAATTTTAAACTACGAGTTATAAAAAAAGAAAGCACGGAGACTATGATTTTAAAATAAATATATTTTTTTATGATAAAATGCCCGCTTAAACTTGCTTAAAAGGTCACATTGTTCGTGTCGGTTTTTTAGAGCAAATTGTATGTTAGTTTTTCAAGCCCATTTTTGTTTTGCGTAATTAATGAAAGGAAATGATGGTATATTTTACCAAATTTATTATCCTTGTTCTTTAATATAAAAGTCTAAAATTGCAAATTTTACCATAAATACGGTTTTTATAAACCTTTTACCATCTCCTTTCAAAGTAGATAAATCTTTTACAAACCACAAGATATTTCTTTAGGTGTCTTGGTGTGAGGCAAAGTATTTGGTACCAGAACGTTCATCAAATTTTCTTTTTTTTAAGTCAAAATAATTAAGCTGCCTTTTTTTGCCTGTTTGGTCAGCAGAATATGAAATATGTCCATAAATTTATCATATTAGTCGGATATTTATAAGTCATCATAGTTGCCTTTTGCTAGTTCTAAAACGTCAGTTTCCAGTGAAAGTCAATCAAACATACAATCTCATCGTGTTTTTGTGTTTATTAACGCTTTATAATAATATTTGGTAAGTTATAATATTAATATTAATATAAATATTATATGTTTATTTGAATAACTTGCTTCTTTTTATGAAGAAATGCCATCAACGACTAATAAGGAGTTGTATGAACTTATTAAAAATGTTAGTAACAAAGAAAAACACAACAAACTTTTAAAGTAGGTACCTAACCGAAAACCTGGATATTATATTATCCCCTGAATCCGAAAATATCGTCAAAAGTTAAAAAAGTAAAACAGTTTTTGAGATATAGTCAATTTTTCATTTAATATGGAATTGACTATATTTCAAAAACTGCTCCACTTTCATAATTTTTTATGGCATTTTCGGATTCAGGGGACAATTTTACTTAAGAATTGGATGTTAAATTTTGGGATACCATTATATTTCATGATTAACTATGGTACAAGTCATTTTTGACTAATTCATTTTTAGAGAGTAGGTAAAAAAACGTGGATTTAACCGGTTTTGCTTTAAAGTCAACTTTTACTGTTATTTTAACATCGATATAGGGTTTTTTGGACCAAGTCACTTTAGTAGTTGATATAAATAAAGCCAAAGATGCGAAATTTACAAAGAAAAGATGTATCGAAAAAAATGTTTATAAGTGATTTTGCTCGAATATTCCTTAATTTTAATAGTTTTTTTTTGTTTATTTTTCTATTTTTAGCTTAGGTAATATTGCGTAATATATTTGTTTATTAATTTATATTTTTGGAGAATGGAGGATCGACAAAATCGAACTTTTCCAAATTGTTTAAAACAAATTTGTGAAATTGTGTACATAATTAAAACATTTTAATATTAATATTTTAGCATAAATTTACCACCGCATAAACCTTAAAATGGCTTAAAATAATGTGTCCCCAATTTTGTCCGCGATTTTTGAAATTCCTCCCACTGTGCGACGCGTAGAAGGGGCAAAAAGCTCAATGTTGCTTCGGGAAAAGCTATACAAAATCCCAAAAGAAAGGTCTCCACTTCATCATCTGAGCTAGAGCTGCCAAATGAGGATGCAGCCGATGAAGAAATTGAGAGTGAAAGTGTGGAAGAATTTGAACTTGATGAAGAAGATATATATTCTCCATCAAGTTCACATTATAACCAAAACAAACATAATAAAGAAGTTCAGAGGGACTCGAGTGCTTTTGAGAATCCAGAAAATGCAGTTATTACAACTGACACTTTTGTAATAGTTAAATTGACTAACGAAAAGACAACAAAAAACTATGTCGGCTGTGTCAGGGAAGTTGTTGATCCTGATACATATATGGTTCATTTCCTAAGAAAGCACGATTCTTCCAAGATGGAAGATTATTATTATTACCCCCAAACTAAAGATGAAAGTGTCATTGAAAGACGTCAATTAATCCTTGTCCTCCGATCTGTAAAAGATGCGCGAAGGGGACGATATCAATTTAAATTTCCGAAGAATATAAGCACTTTTTAGTTTGATATATTATTTTAGTTTAAGAATATGTTTTTTATTAGAATATTTGTTTTTTTTACTTATTTATGAAAATATATATTTTTAATTAACTAATGAGTTTTGTTTATTATTTGTGAAATGTTTATAAATATATAAGTTTCAAATTATTGTGATTTTCTCATGCCCAAAAATTGTGCGAAATACTCAAAAAATGTGCGAAACTTCTTTTTTTTTAAATTTTTTGTCCGAATTCACCTCAGCGTATGTCACAATTTGATTATAAGGTATAAACAATGGGCGTCCAAATTCACCCCACATAGGGGTGAATTCGGACACAATTTATATATATAAAAAACATTAGGACATGAAAATATAGTTTTTTCTTGTATGGAATGGATAGAGAGGAGGCCTAAGTATGTTAATTTTTTTTTTGAATTTTTGTAGCTGCTATTTGAAAAAATACTCAAAAATCGTCCGAAATCACCCCGGATGACGGAACGCAGTCTTTTGAAAATTTTTCATTTAAGGCTTTTCTGGTTATGTATCTGTCAAAGTATAGTCAATGAAAGAAATAATATTTATAGTGTTACCGCTTATGTTTAAGCGTTAAAAGTTAATAAATCTTTATAGTATTACAATAACAATGGTTGGTTTAAGAATTTAGGAATATAAATACTGCATTTAATGAAATTCTAAAGTGTATGGTGCCAAAAAGTGATATTTTTTTGCATTGGGTCTACGTTTCTCCATAAAATAGTTTTAACTAAAACGCATTTATTAAAAAAAATCTAAGGTAGGTTAATGTATTAGAACAAATAATATCATCTAATTTTGTATTTTAAGGTTAGAAAAATCTATTTTGACCAAAATAAATAAGTGGATTATTTGAAAGTGTCATAAATAAATATAGGTAATACCTATTAGGTATACTAAATAATTGTTCAATATGGTTCAAATTAAATTGAAGCTTTTATACTTCTAACGACAAAACAAACAAAAAGCCTTAAATGCCAAATTTTCAAAAGACTGCATTCCGTACGTAGTCACGTGGTGGGACTTTGAGGTGTGAAGCATAGTACGTAAATTTAAATTATTTGAAATTGGAGCTATACCTTTTTAATAAAGGTATATAAATTTTATACTTATGCCTATTTATTTCGTTTAAGGGTGAAAATCAAAAAATCTTTGGAAAACGACCTACAACAATTAAAAAACTAAAATGTTGCTTTTTGTCCATTAAACTTTTTAATATTCTAAAATAAAGATTTCGCAACATAATAAAGCTTATCTTTGAGATCAAGGAAAGGTAGTTTTTTGTTATGTTGATAATTGTTGTCTTCTGATCTCAATTATGTCTAGTCGGTAACAGTATAGTTTGTCGGGAATAAAGGTTCTGTAAATGGAATAATAATCAAAATATATAAAAAAATACTTATAGTAAATACCATTATAATCAAAATTGCAAATATTGGTGTTATACATCAGAAAAATGTAACAAATCTCATATCGATATCAAAATTTTACCGCTAGAACAGTTACCGATTAGACATCGT